GATGTCCGAGAACACTACGATTGTTGACCGTCGGTGGACGTGACGGAGTTCAAGCAGTTGGCGAACTGTGAAGATTTAATCAATGCAACCTCGACCTGAACGGAAACCCGCTTATTTTTCTCGGTAAACGCCTCCTTTAGTCGCAGAGTCTGCGGATCATAACAGACACGAAAATTTTAGAGGCAACAGACATCAACGAAATTCTGCGGTAATTGGCGCAGTTCTCGCGGGAGCCTTTCTTGTGAATCGGGACAATCACCGATTCCCCCATGCAGTTGGGACTTTCTCGTCAGTCCAAACTCTCCTGAAGAGTGATTGCATTTCATTGACAAGTGCATTCCCGCCAGTTTTAAATAGAGCTCGGGGAAGACTCTCAGGACCGGGAGATTTATGTGGCTTCAAAGATTGGATTGCGCTTCGGATATCTATTTCCATAGGAGCATCTGTGGCGATAGACCGAGCACCATCCGAGAGAAAGGGGGTGTATTTCGGGCTCATCAAATATCCCCGCAAAAATGCGCCACAAACTCCGGCGTGATGGCTGTGGGAAGCGGGGTCCAATTCCCCCCCCCACAACGTAGAAGTTTTCAGCCTATCTGAAACGTGGCACAACTGCGCACCTGTTGACAATTTTCTTTTGCAAACTACCACCCCGTGGTGGTAGCTATTTTCACTAACTTAATAACCCATAGCATTGGCTGGGGTTCGCCCTTTGTTGGTCGTAAAAGAGCCTTCAGAGGACCACCTGTCTTGCTTTCTCTTCGCCTTAGTTGGGAGTCGGTCGGTCACGTGATTTTGTGTGCGTCGTTAGCCAGGCAGTGTTCGCGTCTAAGTCACTAGCGCGCGTCTACCGTAACCCCCTCTCGTGTGCGTCCGTTCCGAGGGCTCAGCGTCTACCCGAATACGTGTGGCTAGGATCGTTCTCACGCTCGCTCCATTCCCGTCTCACCAGCGCGTACCCCGGGCTAAACTAACGCCATCACGTCAGCGCAAATCCGTTAGATTGGCCAGCCTTCCAAGCCGTTCTCGTAGGCGTTCTCTCAATCGTAACAGTGGCGACAGAGTTTACGAACCATGATTGACGAATACGCTGCAGCAACAACTTAAATTGATGTCTGTGCTAACCGAAAAACTCTCTAGTTCTTCCCTTCATGTAGGTTCAAGCGCTAATTCTCAGTCAGTGGACCATGTGGTTAGCGGCATCAATGAATTTCTGTACGACGCCAGGATCGGGGTAACGTTTGAATTTTGGTATAAGCGGTACGAGGATCTGTTCACCATTGACTTGGCTTGCCAGGACGACGCGTGATAGGTCCGGCTGCTTCTGCACAAACTTAGTATACTCGAACACCAACGCTACACCAACTTCATCTTGCCGAGGAACCTTCGCGACGTTTGATGAGACGGTCCGAACATTGCCACAGATTTTTGTCGAGCAATCCTCCCTGTTCGGTGCTCGTTATCAATGTCTGCAGCTGGTCAAGCGTGATGCCGACGACTTCATCACGTACGCGGACGTGGTCAACCGTGAATGCCAACGTTTTCAACTTGGCTCACACACCGCGGACCAATACAAGTGCCTTATTTTCGTCTTCGGCCTCCAGTCTCCACACGATGCCGATATCCGAACGCGCCTCCTGTCCAAGCTACAACAGGATAGCTCAGTCACACTCCAGAACCTGGCCGAGGAGTGCCAAATGCTGCTCCACCTGAAGCACGATTCTGCCATGATCCAGAACGCGGTCTCACCTGGTATGGTCCAGGTAGTCACAGCACCGACGGCGCAATCGTCCGCGCGCCCCACCCAGTCCGACCGATCGAAGTCCCCACCCTACGCGTGCCGCTTCTGTGGTGCCTAGCATTTTCGCCGGGACTGCAATTTCCGCCAGCATCGTTGTCAACGTTGTGGCAGGGTGGGGCACCTGGATGGTTACTGCCACCTCACATCTCCCAAGGGGGCCAAAACTTTGCTGGTACCCACCCGCAATCCAAAGAAGTGGTCCCGACCCAGACGCACACCCAAACCTGGTCATGTTGTCAGCTCCCTGAGCCTTCTGGCCACGTTCAAAATCAATGCTGCGGATCGGAGAAAATTCGTCGACGTCTTGATCAACGGTCAGTCGGTCCGATTCCAGTTGGACACTGCGTCGGACATCACGATCATCTCCGAGGATCTCTGGCGATCCCTTTGCAAGCCACCTTTCGTACCGACCTCCCAATCTGCCACCAGCGCCTAGGGTGGTCGCGTTCAGCTAATTGGGCAGTTGCATTACTCCGTCTCCTTCCGAGGCGCAATCTTCAACGCGATCTGCTACATCACGAAGGCGAAGCTCAACATGCTTGGTCTCGACTGGTTCGAAACCCTTGGCTTGGCCGATTTTCCTCTTCGGGCCATCTGCAACGCGGCACATTCTCCGGTAGTACCGAACAGCAGAACCGACGGCAAAGTCAGTCAGTCCGCCCCCGTGTCCCAGGATTGTCAACAAGTCTCAAAGATGTCACCACACCAATCATCGATTCCTTGGCATCCGCCAGCAAACCCGTGGTCCGGGGTGCACATTGACTACGCTGGTCCCATCGATGGCATTTTTTATCTGGTCGTGGTGGATGCCTATTCCAAATGACCAGAAGTGGTTGCCGTCAATCCACCAACCGCATCCGCCACTTTGGGTTGTCTCCAACGAACCTTCAGTCAACATGGCTTTCCCGCGGTTTTGGTGTCCGACAGTGGTACCCAGTTTATGTCTTCCATCTTCGAAGACTTTTGTCGTTGACACTGCATCCAACACCTCCGCTCACTGCTTACCATCCTCTGTCCAATGGTCAAACGGAGAGATTCGTCTACACCTTCAAGAGGGCGCTCTTGAAATCTCGCGGGGAGGGGACCGTGGATCAGTGTCTTCAAGCGTTCCTGCTCTCGTACCGGTCCACACCGAATGCAGCTACACCAGGATGCTAGTCACCAGCTGAAGCATTGATGGGCCACAATCTACGCACCACCAATGAAGCGCTCATTTCGACTGATAAGCCACCTAGTCACTCTAGTGCCTGCACCAAGCACAAAGAATTTGTCGTTGGAGCCCCGGTCTACGCTCGCGATTATCAAGCAGGTCACTCACGCTGGATCAAAGCAACAGTGACGGTCAGGCGAGGTGACATGCTGCATCATGTCTCCGTGGGTGATGACACGTGGGTTTGCCATCGCAATCAATTTCGATCGCGCCACGGAGAAACCTCCACGCCAGCCAACCTTCCCGTGCGCTTGCCATTGCACATCCTGTTGGATACCTTTGGATTGGTTGCACAACGAGAGACCACGGTCGAAGCCGTTCAATCGCCGCCGCGTCTGGAGAAACCCGCCTTGCCGACGGACAGGAAGAATCCGGATATCGCAGAAATCCCTCCAGGTCAATCCTCATCAGAAGCGGTACGCTTTCTCTTCTGAGGGAGGTGTTGCGGGCCTGTCAAATATCCCCGCAAAAATGCGCCACAAACTCCGGCGTGATGGCTGGGGGGAGCGGGCTCCAATTCCTCCCCACAACGTAGAAGTTTTCAGCCTATCTGAGACGCAGCACAACTGCGCACCTGTTGACAATGTTCTTTTGCAAACTACCACCCCGTGGTGGTAGCTATTTTCACTAACTTAATAACCCATAGCATTGGCTGGGGTTCGCCCTTTGTTGGTCGTAAAAGAGCCTTCAGAGGACCACCTGTCTTTCTTCCTCTTCGCCTTAGTTGGGAGTCGGTCGGGTCACGTGATTTTGTGTGCGTCGTTAGCCAGGCAGTGTTCGCGTCTAAGTCACTAGCGCGTGTCTACCGTAACCCCCTCTCGTGTGCGTCCGTTCCGAGGGCTCAGCGTCTACCCGAATACGTGTGGCTAGGATCGTTCTCACGCTCGCTCCATTCCCGTCTCACCAGCGCGTACCCCGGGCTAAACTAACGCCATCACGTCAGCGCAAATCCGTTAGATTGGCCAGCCTTCCAAGCCGTTCTCGTAGGCGTTCTCTCAATCGTAACAGTGGCGACAGAGTTTACGAACCATGATTGACGAATACGCTGCAGCAACAACTTAAATTGATGTCTGTGCTAACCGAAAAACTCTCTAGTTCTTCCCTTCATGTAGGTTCAAGCGCTAATTCTCAGTCAGTGGACCATGTGGTTAGCGGCATCAACGAATTTCTGTACGACGCCAGGACCGGGGTAACGTTTGAATCTTGGTATAAGCGGTACGAGGACTTGATGTGCACATGTGCACAGCTTTATCTGCATGGGACGCTACGTTTCTGCTGATAGCACCTTTTGGAGAGAAATTTTGTTTCGCTCCATCAATTTACTCCAATCTGATATGCATGCGATGTCATCGGGACGTTACACTCTCAATAAAGCTCAGGGTGCAAAATACCTGTGTTCGCGCGGTAATTTACAGCAGTGAGTTCTGGACGATTTGTGTGGATGACATGCATCAGCCTTCGGTTTTCGATAGTGGACATATGATAGCAACGCCACGTTTGCTAAATCAACGTCGCATCTTACCTAATGTGGGCTCGACTCTCAACGGGCTCGTATCGCTGTACCATTTTGGGCTGTCTTAAGCATGCTGTGTGTGTGGTTTCCAAGTCGTGCTCTATTCATCCCCACTGGATCGCAGTGAAAGAAATCGCGCAATAAACTGTTAAAGCACTGACTTATAGTTTAGCTACCGTCGACGCCGTATGCCTTTCACGCTGGCGATTCAGGAATGAAGGACCCCACTGACTAGGAACACTTGAGGACATAGTGCAAATCGCAATCATTCAAAGTCTTATGAATTTATATCAATTGCTAAGTTTCCCACGTAGTGATCATTCAGTTAATGAGAAAGGACGAAAGGTGTATTAGACCCCACCAAACCTTTTCTATCCCTTTCCATATTTGTGACTACTGTAATTATCATTCCATGGTTTATGATGACTGTGTCTCTATTATTATGCACTTTATGCATATTTTCTCGTTGATTCACAGCTTCCGTTACTCGAGCCACAACACGGACCTGATATACATATGTTTTCCATTGCATGTGGCACTTACGATGGCTCTTTGTTCGTATTGACCTATGAGCATGAAAACAACGATGTCGAAGGTGCAAAGATTTTAAAACCCGTACTACTTGATCCTAATGCCCACAACGGCCCCGTGGGTGGGATTGCAATATCCAATTCGACGGTCGTTTCCGGTGGCGAGGATGGTATTATTCAGGTAGGCCAGATGGGTTTGCTGCTATTAATGACTGTGTTTATGACATTTCGCTTGTCACTCTAGTTTCCTTTATCGTCAGCTGAAGCAGTGCACGCCTTTATTCCCGAAATTCTGTACTTCTGGTTTTGCACTGGCCACAACGCATGCTTTTTGTCTTCTCTTAATGATCTATTTCCGGACGCCGTGTTTCGGTGAATCCGGTTTCCATGCCTCTCGTCGCGTCCGTTATTACGGTCTAGTCGTGATAGCTTTCCTGTTCAGGACAAACGACAGGATCTCTGCGAATTGTGCCTACTGACGGATGATCCATGGTTGTCGGAAAGCCCCCCACATGCGCGATATGAACCACAATCACAGACTTACCCGGACCCAAGAGAGTGAAGGGACGACAGCAGAGTACTTTTGCAATCCAGACAAAGCTGCACAGCCTTGCTTATATACCGATAATGGAAACGTAAATGAACTTTCACACAGACGAGTCCGCACAGTCTATCGCACAGTCTTATCTTTGCACGATAGCCAGCTGTTTGTGACGGTATGTTGTTAACACAAGGTGTAGGCGCCTTGACCCAGAATGTTTGCTTAGGGCATTAAGGTTTTCAGGTAAGTCCCCCTTTCTCTCCCTTTTCTTATTCTTTATTTCATAGGTCCTCATGGTTGTATGGCAGCGAAGCATCAGTTCAAATGGCTGATGTACTGCTGTTGATGATGATGATGATCGCGGGGAAAGCAATGACGTATCGGAACATGGGAGTTCGCAGGAATACAAGTGTCCGCCAAATATGGATAGGCGGGGGCGTAGCTTAGGTTTTCTCGAGTTTAACAACCTTGTGAGAATATGCGTTCTCATGACTACATTACTAGTATTTGACAAGCATTGGGAAAATGCAGGCGAAAGGACCGTAAATATGGGCAAGAGTTCAACGGAGGAGTTAGTAACGTGGTATATTCGCTATCTAGGTAGGGGAACAGGAACAAATTCCAGGTCTAATGCGGCGACGTCATTAACTTCACAACTGTAGCACACCTTCAAGCTTATTCTACCTTCACCTCTCCTGTGGACTTCATCTTAATCGATGATATACTTCTCCTTGACGAAGCCTTTACATCGACTTTCTCATGCACTCTCTTCTTGTCGTCACTTGATCTCACTAAGGGCTCGCACATTCAGCTACAATACTCGAAAATAATACTCTTCGAGCCAAATGGTAAACGGGTGTTCGAAGCACGTAATCTTGCTGACGGAGACGATTTTCAAACTTTAAGGCCGACCCTGTACAACACCAAAAGGTTTGTTACCAAACAGTCTATTTATCTCTGCACCACACACTCTGTGGTCCAACCAGATATGCACAACGCTCCTGCGTCGTGCGTTGTTTCCGCAGAAACAATCAGTGGTTGACCTTCTGTTGCCCTCGTCCTCGGACCATTGCCACCGTTCACCTCCCTGCATTTGATTGGTTAGTAAAACTTTTTGAACGATATAAGATAATTTCATGTTTTTGCTTTGATACTGATGAGAGAATACGAAATGCGTACATCTGCCAGCGTTCCTCTTCTCACAGCGTTAGAATTATCAAGAGACAGAAGGCGCATAGTCCTGCTTCTCTCGTCTATTGCGGAATGCATAAGGTGCAATACAACATATAGTGTGGAGCGACTGGGTTTATGACCGAACCGGTAGTCATAGTCTGCATGGCTGCTTGTGATAATCCAAGGGATAAGTAACCTCTCTACCACCTTCAGGGTCACCGACACATGCGATGAGATGATAATTTTGGGATTCCTCCTTGGTTTCGGGAGTTATTTTTACAGGTCTTTAAATATCAGGGATAGTGTCACTCATAAGACAGTTGAAAATAGCGTTCAGTGATACCACGAGCTAATCTGCGTACTCTCTTAGAATAAGTGACGAGAATGAATCAGAACCACTAGCCTTGTGCTCGATTTTCAGAGTTCCGGTAAACATCAGTGGAATTAGCGGTGACTACTGAACCTGTGCTGTTGAAGGCCGACAGAAGAACATGCCCTACAAGGAAGAAGGAAACTCAGCATTGAGTTTGTTCACATTCACGTTTTCAAAGCGCTTAAGGAAAATTTGCCATATGGTTACTCCAAAATCTCCAAAAATCACAGCAATGGTGATTTTAATGTAAAACGCTTTCATCTTATTATATCGGATTTTACTGCCAGAATGAAATTGTTTAGTTTGGGTGGTCATTTTGCAGTTAGTGATCCGTTCTTTCATTCTTCTAAGTTGCTTCCGTGGCGGCGAAGAGAATCTGTCCATCCGTAGGTAGACAGTTTCAAGTGGGCAGCATAAGCGAAAGTAAAAGTTAATGCACTTAGTTAGGTGCTCGCATTCAATAGATACTTTCTTCACTGTGAAATTGAAGAGTCAGTTAAAGTAAGGGTCGCATAGTGCTTCGCGATATTTGTTTTCTAGTAGTCTTTGGCGGTTTCCAATTTCTTTTTTTCAAAGAGAAACTTATTCTGACCGTAAATTACTGGGTATGTTTTTAGAATGCGATGATCTGAGCAAAAAACGATAGCGTTTTGTCTGTTTAAAAACTTCACCTGTGCGTCTAGTCTGGTTTCGAAGGACGTCGTATTTTTGTCCCAAACTTCCTGATGAATATATCGTAGTATTTATGTTAAAACCGCCAGTAAAGATGCGGTAACCCTGGGTGAGTATCTGAAATATTCTTCAGCTCAGACAGTGGTCTGTTAAAAACAAAAAGCTCCCATATAAGCATGTTAACATCATTTGACAGTGAAATATGATGTTCCTCCACTTAACACGACAGTCGGAGTGGTACAGAGCGCTGAAGAAGTGGCCATAGCTCTACGAATGCAATATGCCCCGACCTTCTAACGAGACGTTCACCAGTGTTACATACCCACATCCATCGGCCAAATTTCAGTACACAGTAACATCGCGTTCTCCGTCTCATCTGTGCTGAAGAACTTGCTTTCACTGGACACCTACATTCTCCCGGAATCGATGACATTCACCACAGGCCGCTTAACGTAACAGCAACAACACTGATAGAGCCATTATCTCATCTCTTCCATACCTGCTTGGACAAACAAATTTTGCCTACCATGTGGAAACATGCTCTAATCATGCCAATTTTCAAAAGCAGCTTTCGCTCGGAGCCTGCAAACTATGGCCAAGTGGTCCTCCTCCCTGTACTCTCTGAGATGATGGAGGCAATCATCGCCGAAGCTTTAGTCGACTGTTTAGAAAACCAAATAATAATAACGTCTGAGCAGCAGGGTTTCCGCCAACACCGTTCATACACAACCAACCTACTGATTGCACGCAGTAGTTGAACAGTAGCGGCCGACAAAGGGACAAGAGCCGACGTCATTCAAAGTCGGCGACCACCTGGACCACCTCATTTTACTTCACAGGCTTGAAAGCTATGGAGTAGTGGATCCTGTCTTGGGGTGGATCAGGGATTTCCTGAAAAATCGGTAACCGCAGGTTAGAGTTCAAAGTGCACTATCTGATCCGATTCATGTCGTAAATGGAGTTCCATTAGGATCAGTTCTGGGGCCGCGTCTGTTTCTCATGTTCAGTAATATACTTCCGCGTCTGGTTGCCTCGGATTTTTTGCTTTTCTTTGATTTTGTCAAGTAGTGGCGGAGATCTTTGACCTAGAAGAGCACGATGCACTTCAGCGAAACCTGAACAGAAAGTATAAATGGTCATCCTACAGTTTGTTCCAGTTTAATTCGTCCAAGGTGATTCACATTCCTCACCCAGGAGCGATGATCTGGTCAAGAGGAATGAAAGCCCTTACTTCGAAATCGGCCTGGTCTGGAGCCTCTCAGCTCCCTGGTTGGGGACCGAAGGTCGATGAGCACATTTAGTTGGATACACTTCTTGACATGGCTAGGAGCCGACCTCAATGGCATTTGTGTTGTGAGTTGCATTGTGCCTCCCTTTCCAACCCCGATCTCAATTGTTAGGCATAATATAATATTTCACAGACCAATAGCTGGCTGTTAGCTCTCCGGAACGATGTCCATCCGTTACTGGTGGCTCAGCCGGCGTGCTCCTGTTTCATGTTTTTTCTCTGTTCTTTTGTATTGCGGGACAATAGCTGAGGTGTTTTCCACCTGCAACTAGCATGTATAATGATGAATGCTGACCCAAGAGCTCGATTTTGTGGTATTAATCCAGGCTGCTCTGGGCTGCTCATAGCAATCTGAGAATGCATCAAAATGGGAACCAATTCCCTGACATGCTGCGAAGGGCGTTCTGGCATTTTGACTCCTCTGTCTGTTCGCAGTTGCTAAACGCATACTTTCGGCCTCAAGTGGAACACACTATACAGACATGGCGACCCTAGCACAAGCAAGATCTCGCAGCACTCGAGACTACACAGCGAAGAGCCATAAAGCATGTCAAAGGGTTGTTTCACCTTCCATATCAACTTACGCTGAGGACTCTAATGTTGTACAGCGGTCGCTATCGGCGCCTACATGGTGACCTAATAAAGTCCTACCAGATTTTGAGGAGTCCCAACCACCTCTGCCGCCATTTATTGCAACTCATTGACAACACGAATTTGAGAGCCCACCAGCTCAAGTTGGCCGCGCCATACAGTCGGCTAGAGTGTCGGCGAAACTTTTACTCTTTTTGTCTGTGTCAGCCATGGGACGCCATCCCAAATTACATTGTTCTTGCCCCTACTTTATATGTACTTAAGGAACACCTTAACGTTGCCATAACCCATCCACATTGCGAAATATAGCCTGTGTATATTGACAGACCCACTAGTTGGAAACGTGTCAACCTTGGACCGATTCGAAGCGCACACCCATCTAGGTTGCCGCTTCTCGTCGAGACGTAGCATATTTAACGAGTTATTCGATGAATACGGTGCATCTCCGATTTCCTCTATACGCACGCCCATGTAGCCTGCATTTTTTTTCATATTTTATGCAGGACACATGTCAGCGGATTAACAGGCTTAAGTAAACAAATC